TGCAATACTCTCATGTATTTGTCAACAGAGTTGTTGCGTTTTTTCTTTCTGTGTGCTAACAATTTTGGCGGTGTTTCCGTATTGTAGCATTTCTGCAAACAATTTCTGTTACCAAGGTCTGCGCCGAAATTGTCAAAAACAGAAATTGTTTGCTGGGGAGAAATAGAAAGAAAGTGAGAAAGAGAGAGAGGAAGCGTACGAAGAAATTTTTGGAAGAGGAGCGGGCTCACCTGTTGCTGAAGGGGACCCATGACACCGGGACCTTGCTGATGAGGACCCATGACACCGGCGCCAGATGGCAAGTGACTGGGCCCATGCTGATTGGACGTGGTTACGGTCGTGTAGCTGTGGTGATTCGCTTGTTGGTAGGCTAGATGCGGTGGATTGTTTTGATGTTGTAGTTGATGTTGTTGGTTGTTCATTAGTGGTGGTTGTTGTTGTTGTAGTTGTCTAGAGTCTAAGTGACAGACAGGGACAGACACAGGCACAATGCAGGCATCTAGCAACAGAGAAGAGAACAGAACCGTGTTGTCATTTATGGCGCATTTAACGTTTTGGTTTTACGTTTTCCTTTTCTCTCTTTTTTTTTTTCGAGTCGATCGAGCATGCCGTAGTATTATATTATGTCGAAATTCCAATTTCGAATAGAAACCGCGACTCTTTAAAAGTGTAAACTCGACTCTGGGTGTGACAGATCACTCGAATTGCGCGAAGTAACTGGAATTATTTCAGCGTGGTATCTTATTTTCTGTAAGTCACGCAAATTTGCCAATCTCTATTATTACTTAGATCGATCGAATACGGAAATTTGAACGTAAATGGCCAACATGACAACACGACACGAACGACAATCATGTGACACGACGACCATCGATCAGTTCAGGCACACAGAGACAGATCATGTCGAGTATAAAGTAAAAACTGTTATATATCACAGCAACATGATCATGTGTTGAATATATATAGTCAGTCGATAAAATATACACATATATATATATATATAAGTGTAAGTATAATACGTATGTATACATATATATATGTATATATAATATAGACAGAGAGAATAGAAAGACAGATACGTAGAGTAATAGTAACAGAGCAGATATATAGTGCCCGGAGAGAGAAAAAAATATATAAATATACGTAGACGTATATATATCAGATATATACTTAATAGAAGAGACACTGAAAGCAGCTTGGTGTTTTTTTTGCATATATATATATGTATATATAATATCATATATCCATAATGTACTATGTGTGTGTGTGTGTATATATGATAGCACGTGTTTTCTCGAACGTTCACCAATTTTCTCATTACGTATTACACACAACAGAAACAAATTTCTATTTCGGTGTGTACATCTTGTGTAACATTGATCGTGACAAATAATTTTTCGACTGTTGTTCAATGCCTGCGAAAAGCATGTGTATGATATTTTCTTTGGGAAATTGTGTTCACAATTCGGTGTGTCTGTATGTGTCTGTATGTGTGTGTGTGTGTGTGTGTATCTGAAGCGACACAACAGAATTCCTCGTCAAGGCACGTGCGGAGCGTGTCACCATTGAACACACAATTTACTCACACTTTGCTCAAAATGGATTTCAGCTAATTATACGCCGCATGCTCATTCGGCTCGAATTGCGTATCGATTCGGATTCGCCAAATTGCGCAACGCTAATTAACATCAGTGTGACCCTTCTGCCTGCCGTTCTGGCACATCTGGTTTTCGTGTCTTGCGTGCTTGCCGTTTGCACTTCCGTTCTGTTTACCGACGCGACGCTGTTTTCGGTTTTCAATTAAATTTCGCGTTAGATAACACAAAACTATATCTCTGACAACAACCGATTTGTTTTCTCTGAGCGCGTCGCGTCGGCGTAAAAAAGCATACGTCTCAACAACCCCTCGAGCCAAGTTTCAATATCTTGTTATATCGTGTGAAGGCAAATCGAATAATCAACCATTTTTTGAAAATGACAATTTGATATAGTTGTTATGATGAGAGTCCAAAATTGTTTTTATCTCTCGCAACAATTTATAATTTGCACATTTCTTGAAACGTCGAGACAGTTATACGATAATTGGTAACGCTGAATGACATCGATATACACGGAGGAAAAATAGTTTGCATTTTATACAAAAGCAATCAAACTTTGCTATTATTCGATATTACGGCACAATAATTGTCTTTTTATATATAGTAAAGTGTAAAATATCTTTCTCTAAATAACAAAATTTGCTTCTGAACGCAGGAGTTTCCTACTAAAGCAAATTATAATAATTTATCGTTAAAGAAAACAATCTACTTCTAACAACTGTAGATTGTTTTGTTGTCACAATAAAAACTCATTATTGCAAAATAGAATATTCCTTTTAGTAACGGAATAAAAATCAATCCTTCCAGCAAAATTATTATCAAATTTAGCAAAAATATCAGCAAATAAAAGTAATTACGATGCAGCATATAGAATATGAAATATGCCAGCCAATTTTTTCTCTCCGTGTAGGATGATATATCAATTCCGATGTCGTTTTTGGCTTGAGGAGCTATCCATGCCCTGATAATTGGCACTGCAAGAAAAATTCCACGTGTATGGTTGAGTTCTATTTACCTTTGCCACGTCGATGACCAGGCGGAAGTTGTTCCCGTGGGGGTGGCGGCGGCCCTCTCGCGCCTGGTCCCTGACTCTGACTTGGTGGTCGTTTGCCTTGCGGCGGTTGCCCTTGATTCTGACCGGGAGCCTCGGTGAGGAAATTACTCGGCACTAAACCACGCACGCCGTTCAGCTCACCCATGTAAAACCCGTCGTTGTCCATTTCGCCGTACACGTAGATTTCATTACCAGTTTGAAATGCCAATTCAACTTGCTGCGAAATCAAAGCGATTTAGCAGCGAGCAATGTCTTGTATAAACAAGTTATATATTTTACATGCAAAAATTACACAACGCAAAAATTAGAATCGTCTTGATGTATAAACAATACTTCTCAACAAAAATTAGTTATTACATTATTAAAAATAGTGTAAATTTATTTCTATAAATGAGATTTCGTGTTTGAGATATATAAAACAATCTTACAGCATCAACGTTAGGAGACAATTCGTGAGGATCATAATCGTAAAGAGCTATCATCTTTTTCACAGGCATGCTCGCATAAATATCTCCCCATCTTTCGTTCTGTGAAGGTCCTCTTCTACTGGCTTGACCCTGAGGATCTTTAAGATCCTTATAATATGGTGGGGGATCTTTAAGTTCCTCTACCATGTTATAAGGAACGAATCCTTGTCTGCCACGACACTCGCCCCAATAAAAACCGTCGGCGTCCTTTTCGCCGTACACCTGAAAAAACATCAGATTAGAAAACATCGGAAAACTGAAATGTGTGTAATTATTTTATTTAACGTCTGCTTAAGAAACATAAAATAAATTAAATTAATTTCAACACTTCTTTACATACAAAAATCAGATGCAAATAATATGTGAAAACAGTTGTGTGTAACCTTGATTGTGTCGCCTTCGGAAAATGGTAATTCTTCCTCGCACGCGTCTGGATTTGGTGACATGGTCGTAGGATCATAATCGAACAACGCCACGAACCATCGTTGTCTCTTGTTCATTTGTTGAGCTGCACTGGATGGATGACTCGCTCCACCTTGAGCTTGATTTACTCGTCCACTTCGGTAAACCGGTCCTCTTCCTTTACCTAAGCGATATTCAAAGATTAAATAAATACTTAATACTTTAATTTTTTTAATAATTAAAATCGAGTATAAAATAAAAACAATGCTAAATTTGAAACTGATGCAAAAACATTCTCTCTCACAACAATATCCATATTATATACCCGTTTGATCATAATAAGAATCTTGAAGTTTGCCGCTAGGACCGCCCATACTAGGTGATCTGTGCGTTCCAGGCGGACCTTGAGGATCCATTTGAGGACCGTATCGATGATGTGGTCCACGGTGCTGGGACGGCATTCCCCGTTTTCGAGTCGGATCATCTTCCTCACTGTAATTCGCCTCGCTTGCCGAGTCTCTGGTAATCTCTGGAATACCTAGACAAAGTCATTGATAACTATGTTCAAACAGAACCATTTGAATAATTGCACAGGGAGATACTAAAAGATGTTGTAAATAATATTTATCATTGAATCTTGAATTTTCCTGCTTCTTCATATAATTTCATATTACCTACCCATTTGGGGAAGGCTTTGTCCAGGATAGATCTCCTTGTCGGAGAGATTCTCGTCCGGTTCGATAATAACCTGACCATGAGCGTCCACTCTGTTGCTCATGTGTCGTCGCATGTGTGAAGGTACGGGCGCATTTGGATACCGCTGGCTTACACCACCCATACGATGGCGATTCGGATCATCTTGCTGAGAGACCATGCTGGTAGACTGTTGCTGTTGCCGTTGATCCATGTGCGATGGTCCACCATGGGTCGGCGGCGCGTGTGTGGCGGTACCTCCGCGAAGAACGCTGCAAGGTATCGCCGTGGCGCAACTGTCACCCGATTGACTCTCTCTGCTCTTAGTCCTAACGGTAATGTGCTTTGGATTGAGACCCATGAGCTTATGTATATCAACGAGCGCGTGATCGCCTGTGGGACTGTCGACGTCGGTGACCTTCTTACCGTCGGCGTACACTGCGTAACCGGTGACGGCCGAACCGTTTAGGGCAACAGGCTGCCAGGTCACTAGCAAAGTGCCGTCCTGCGGTCCAGCCTCCACCTGAAAATCGAATATCACAATACACTCCACTGATAAAACTTTCGTCTACCCGAACTTAACTTTTTTCTACCCGACAATAATAATGATTTAATCAATAAAATTATATTGTACATAATCATTATTTTAACCTGGATATCGACCGGAGGATCTGGCAATCCCTTGGGCAACGTTTTGAAGTGGACATGGCAGGCAAGGTTGTTTGCTGCCTGAGCATTTGGGTCCTCAAAGTGCGTCGCCCGTAGGTTCTTTGCCTTGACGGTCACCCTGTATATCGTCGACGGTGCCAAACCAGTGATGGTATGTCTGTAAACGCCCGGTTTCACGGTTCTCACTTCTACATTATTCACACACACAACGTGCTGATGATTGCTGTTGCTCGGTAACCAGGATATCACGGCGCTGGTCGCCGTGACGTTCGACGCTTTGACAGCGGTCGGGCCCAACGCAACATCCTTGCCGATCACCATCGTGCAAGCGGCATCGCGCGACGTTCTCCTCGAGTGTGTCACCGAACGTACGCTTATCCTGTGTGGCTGTGTATCAAAGAAACGTATTTTTTAAGTTAAAATCAGTTTAACGCATGGCGTAAATATTTTTAGATTCTGATATAAATGTAAAAATATATACCAACCCGAGTGGAATCAACTCCCTCCACCAGAGCCCTGGTTCTCTCGGTGGCCTTCACCGTGACCTTTAGCACGCCGTCCACGTAGACATGGTAAGACTCGAGCTGATGAGTGTTCTCTGGAGCAGTCCATCCTATCAGCACGCTCTTGTTGAGCTGCCGTTCGAGCGTGAGGTGCTGCGGCGCCGGAACTAGGTCCGAAAACATGTAGACTTCTTCAGGAAGAAAAGACAAAGACAAAGCCTAGCTGTAGCTAAGTATCTCTCACTATCATCTATCACTCTAAGCCAGCCTAAGTCCAGCCAACACTTAACACAGTGCTTAACGATCGAGTTCCCCGTGTTGCCAGTTTTATTCTGTGACTACTCACTCCAGTGAAACGCCAGTTCGGAATTGATGTGTGTAGACGTGTGACATGCATAGGCTTTTTACTCCAACTTCAAATCAATATCGTGTGACAGAGGAAAGGAAGAAACGCTGTATACAGGTTGTACAGTGAGGACAATTTGATATTGTTTTACGAGGATATTGACAATTGCATAATACATACAAACATATATATACATATATATACCTTAAGCGGGATTGACAAATTAAAAAACAAATGTTTTAAACAAATGTTCTAAAAGCAAGATAATTTCTATTACGGATTGCATCACAGATGATCTGTTTTATTGCTAAAGAAATATTTGACATTGCTAGTATTTTTGAATCATCAGTTTGACAGATCCAAGTACCAAGTACGTCTAGATATTTACTGGATTGTGAGCATAGATTCACGTATGCGATTTATATAGTTAATTTAGCATTAAGAGCATGCGTTATACATATATTATCTTGCAAAACAATCACAAAAATCTAGTAAACGTTACTAACCTGGTGGTTCCTGTTCGTCCTCCTCCGCGATATTGTCGAGTTCTGCATATGCGGACAGTTCTGCTTGACGATTCCGATTATTTTCTTCCAACGCGGCTAATTCTAGATCAATATCCTGAAGATAGCACTAAAATAGATTAAATCAGAGTTTTATTATGATTTTACTGCTCGTTAATATTTTCACTTAATGTCTTAATATAATGTAAACGCTGAATTAATTATATTTGTTAAAAATAAGTGCAGTTGAACGCAGATACAAACGCGTCACTTCATTAGATACCTCGTTAACTCTCATATTGCTCACTTGAGGGATATTCGTCGAGGCAGAATCGTCCACTTCCCTAAGGCCGAGAACGGCTTGATGGAACTCCAGCAGATCGTCTCCAACTAATTTTTGAACAAAGTTAGCTGGTACCAGACCACGTCTACCATCGAGAGTTTCTGCGTCAAGAAAGCCGTCCTCGTCGGGCTGGCCCCAAACCAAAAGGTAATCTCCACCCTGAACCGGCAGTTCCGCTTCCGGATTCGAGTTCGGCGAATGTTGGAACGGTTCGTAGCTGAAGCGGGCTATATAAACATAACATCTGCCCTTGCCAGGCACGTCTAGCATATCCACTTGACCCTCGGGCACAATTTCTTCAGTGTTGGTTAATCGGTCTAGAGGATTTGTCAGTATACTCGTGGGAATTTTCGGCATTTGCCTAGGACCCAGGAAGTGATGGCCGGTTGTGATACCGGGCGCGGTCGGTGAACTGGCGCGCAAGCTCTGCTGGATCTTTTGAATAAACGCTTGCTGCTGAAGCTGATTGGCCTGCGACTGAACGGACAGTTGCTGCATTGCTTGCAGAGGGTCGCCTATTGCTTGTAACAGACCTCCCGAAGTAGCACCTGTACGAAGAGGCAAACGCTTATTATTATTATTAATTGATATTACGGATTCATCTTGTTTATCTGATAATAAAATCATTCGTCAAAATTCATCATGCCACCAAATCTCTAAAACAAGTTTTATTTCCTTTAAAACTGAAACAATAAAGTCAATTATTAAATTACAATTCTTGTGTCGACCTGAGCTTACGCCCGACGTCCCAAAAGCGTTGGTCCCGATGGTAGTAGAATAAGTCGTTCCACTCGTGGCGTAAGTGCTTTGACCAGTGGAGAATGGAAGAACGGACTGGGGTACACTCGTGAGGCCTCCGAGGGTAGAATGATAAGACGTGGTGGAATACATCGGCAGCGAGGTAGTCTGCGGCACGGTGTAGTTGTGATGTGACAATTGGGTATTGTAACTGGTCGCACCTGTACTATACGTTCCGTTTGGATGTGATGCCATGGACAAACTAGGATATGTCGTTGCCTACATATAATAGAAAAACCTCAGTCATTTAAAATTTATAGTCTTTTTAATTTTATCAATATTTGATGTGATTTAAATGTATTTCTTCAATAATCGTTTATTTCGTGTACATTTGCTTGTAATACAGCAGTCACGATTGAATAATTGACGACACATACCTGTTGACTACCGTTTAATTGATAATTTTGGGCGGTCTGAGCAGGCTGCGTATAATGAGGTATCCCACTTTGGCTGCTCGATGTCAGGTACGTGGTCGTGGCCGGATGCTGTTGTTGCTGTTGTTGCTGCGGGATCTGCTGGGACTGTTGAAGCGGTTGCTGATACGTTTGCGTATGGGGATAGGTCTCTTGGTACTGATTGCTCGTGAAATGTGAGGTGTGCGTTTGCAGCTGCTTTTGTTGTGACGACAGAGCGCCCTGGGAAGTAGACATCTCATGCGGCTGTTGTTGCTGCTGATGATATTGCTGGAGCTTCTGCTGGAAAGCGGGCTGCGACTGACTGCTGGAAAGTGACGGTGCCGGCGGTATCGGCTCGCTATAGTGAAACGGTGGTCCGTTCGGCGTCAATGCGGGACAACCAGGCATCATTGGCGTTAATGGCATTGGTGAGCCTGCGTACTGTTCGAATAAATCTTGTTGAACAAGTTTTAAAACTTTAAAAAAGAAATGTTTTTTCTTAACGCGTTATTTGTTTTATTCTCGATGTCGACGATTTGTATAAGATGCAAACATGATCGAAAATATATTACGTACATGAGTACCCATCTGAGTGGGCATTCCGAGATTAAGAGCGTGCGGATGAGGTGGATGTTGATGCTGACCGAGATTGGGAAGATTCTCCGAGCTGGACCGAAGGATGCCTTGCGTGGCGGAGGGTTGTTGCGTGGTTATCGAGCTCCGTGTGTGATCTAGTTCGTGTAACAGTCTGCCAACGTTGGATCTATATTAATTAATAATTAAGATTAATAAAAATCGACAAGATTTAACGATTAACATACCTAGTGTCCTGTTCGAGTTTGGCGAAGATGCCGTCGTCGGCCGGCGGCCAAGTGGACGGGACACCCACAACGTGTCCTATCACGTGACCCGGTCCTCTGCTGCGCGCGGAACGTCTCAGATCAGTCAGTTCCAACGACAGTTCCTCGTGCCTCATCATCTGCAGTTCGGTCTTCTTTTCGAGCTCCCGGATCTTCGACTGCAGTGCCTCAACCGATTCCGGGCCTTGATAGCGTCCTGCTATCTTTTCCCGTAGCTGGTTCTGTGCTTCCGCATGCTGTCTCTCCAGCTCCGCTCGCCGGGCTTCCGTCTCCCGCATTTCCTGAAATCGATCATGTAATTAGCGTCCCGCTACGTGGATTCGTCAACATTTAATAGACACAACATCCTCTTTAGAACGTAATTGCACACGATGTAATAGCGTTATGTGTATATACATACAGCGCTTTATTGATAACATCACCGATATCTCGATTATAACGAATGCTATATTTCTATAAATGATCTGTTCTTCCAATTGCACGCGATATAAAGCTTCTGCTGAGAAGCACACATATCATTCTACATCAAAAAATATATATGTTAAATTAAAAAAATAATAATTAGAAATCTGTGTCAATAATGTCTAAGAGTGAAAATAATGAATCACAGAAAAGTTGGGTACGAGTTTTGCTTTTAATCTGGAGCGATGTCTAGTTTAAGTACGCGATTCGCGCGAAGAGGACTGTGTCACATTTGTAATGAGAGGCTTTTGTGTGCTCCGATTGCCCGAAGGTGCGCGTAACTGATCATGCTGTATATAATCTAGCGAGAAATTCTTCGTCAAAAATAATATTAAAAAATAAAAAAAGATAATATCAATAGGTTACGATCTCATCGATATTTTATCTTTAATAGCTTCCTTTTAATTAGCTGGTAATTGTGAAATGAATTGCGCGATTGCAGTGTAACATGCAAAAACGCTTTTTCCCCCGTTTTTCACGGGGAATTAATCGCCTAATTATCTACAATGTAAACTTCTATCGTCGGATCGTATTAATTTTCTGCGTACGGAGATTTTCGAATTTTGCTTTGCTTAAAATGAGGCTGCGGTGTACACGGGACATAAATTTCAGTCGCTAACGAAGTTCAAGTGGTTTATTTTATACGCGCGGCGAATTAAAGTTCATAAAGTTCACAGGAGACCGGCAATCGAAACCGGAACACATTAATAAAAACTTTTGTTTTTCATTTTACGTGAACTTTATTGAGTATCTGTAAAACGCCACGCCAAGAGTGAAAGAGAGCTTTACACCGACTACAGTTCATTGTCGAAGGTTTTAATGTAACTTTCATGCGCGCGCGCATATGTGTGTGTGTATTGATTACATGCACATTACTATTACGCATATATAATCTGTTTTAATTTCAAGGGCTTTCCAATAAACGCGTAGTATGCATGCGTGCAGTAAATTTGTTTGATATAGAGCTCCGTATAAAAATCTCAAGTTTCTGCAATTACAAGATAATTATCTTGTCGCTCCATCGAAGATATTCTTTTCCAAATCCAAGAATTAACGTTGAATAATTTTATTTTGAAGCAACAAAGATTATTTAAATTAAAATGTCATCGCTGTCGTAAATTTAATAACCAACAAAACAGAACTCACTTCCAGGATGTTGGTGGCGTCCTGCATGATGTTGATTCTCGTGGAGGCGGTAACCCCGAGAGCGGATCCGGTTCCCTGCAGCTGCGGAGGTGCCGTGGAAGCGCCACCTCCAACACCACAGCACTGCAACATCCCTGAAGTCTGAGACCCTCGCCAGTCTTTATCGCGGCCGGTCACTATCGATCTAGCGTGTGTGTCTAGGAGCTATCTTAATTAATTGGGCGGCCTTTGCGCGGTCTGCCAACCCCCGTGCCGCTCACCGCACGGCGATCCCAACACACGTTCTAACAGTGCGACTTTAGTGCAGTGCGAAAGGGAATTCTTATTTCTCTCGGCACGTGGGAACCCGCCTCGGGAACGGGCCGGAAGTTGTTCTCGTGGCTCTCGGAAACGAAGGGGACCTCGCGCGGTTAAGGGATACCAGAGTTCTTTCGCATCGGATCGGCTGATTCGTAGCGAGATATGGGGTCATCCTAGGAGAAAACGCACGTATGCAAAATACGCTCTTAATCTGTTTAAAAAAAGAGAGAGAGAAAGAGAGAGATGGCTATTTCGCGACAATCAATTATTTTCAGACTCAGGAATTGTGATGAAAAGTTGGGATGAGTGAATTTTATCGACATATCCATTCACTACAAACGTACCTATGAGAAAATGCAAGATGTATGTGCAGTTGAACGTAGCGTGAATTTATTTACGTCGGTTCGCTCCTTTATTCGATAACGTTGATCTCGCGAGCGAGTAATTTTCTCCTAATCTAATTGTCTCCAAGCCAAATACTTTCTTGGACTTTGTGAAAGCTCTTTTTTTCTTACTTCAGAAATCGGCACAAGAGAGAAATATGCAAAAATGTTTTCTTGTTCTTTTAAAAGTTACAATAAACAATCAGATTTTCAGCTTTCATCGTATGCATTCGTCAAATAAAGGGTTAAGCAGCTCCATGATTCAAACGTTGCAAATGTAGCGATAAAAAGATTCTATTCTGGAATTACGAACATTTGCGAGAGTTTGTTATTAAGTGGAAAATTCAATAGACGAGATTATTGGCAACAGGTATTCACGTCAGGAACTCGATCGAGTTTGTAATCCGCCTGTGAAAATCCTTCGATTTGCGACTTTCTGGTCGACGCGATCGCTCGTCGCCGGCGCCACAATGAGCCCGACCGACCGCGAACACGTACTTAACACCGACACGATTGGAAGGCAAGGGTGTGTTAACTACATCGAAAGAGAGAAAGAGACCGGAGTTATTATAGCAGTGCGGCGTACACACGATATTTCGTGTTAACGCGTCGCGTGCGACCAAGTGCTGCTCGATCGCGGTTTTCACGCGAAAAGTTGCTGGCTGCGATTGAGATCCGCACACACACACATACACACACACACATATATCGGGGGACACGCACACATGCGCGAAAATCCGCGCTGCACACTCAGCATCAATCTCGTTAAATGTGTGCGTCACACGACAAGTGACACGTGTCTCATTCGAAGCTTCGGTAAGCGATTTACACTCAAGAGGTTTACACTCTTTTGGCGGTCAATTAATTTATAGAGTATCTTCTCTCCTATTTTTTGCCTATCTCCTCGATATCAAAAAAGTGTAATATAACATTTACCAAGATATCGATTTGTCATCAATCATCTATTTTTAATCACGCACACGTTGAGGAAAAAAATGTAATATTTTACTATAATTTTTTATCCAGAAAATATATTGATATATATTTTACCCTTTTTTACGTAAAATAGTTTTGACGAAACTCGCGTTGAAACGGAAGAGAGACCAAAATGGCAAGCTTCAACAAGAAGATTAATGTAATGGAATTAATGTTGCAAAAAAATTTAAATTAAATCAGATAAACGATGTGTGTATGCCATAATTTTTCGAAACGTTGGTGTGTTGCAGAATTAAATGTTTTACGCACGGGAATATGTGTAATAACGCACACATGCCACGCTGAAACGATCACTCGCGTACACTACAGTTAATAAAGAAAACACACATCTCTTGCTAACGACAAAACCCTTTCTTACCCTATTTTATCGCCCTCGCCTTATTAATGTGATTTGAACACTCTCAGACACCCTTTGATACGTGTAATTAATACTTTTTCTTTCGACACTAACAAACACACACACACATATACGTACATACACGCGTGCGCGCACACAAAGTGCGAAGGCCAGGAAATTATTGGCTTTCCTGCTACACAAGTTTAACGCGTTGGCGAGCAATCGCTGATGTAACAATGTGTGGAAAATCGAAATGCAATGAATCAGATAATACGGATCAACGGAATAGTAAAAAAAAAAAAAAAGAAAAACTTTTCCGATACACATGATCGGAGTGAAAATAAATAAACATAAATGTGTGCATTAATACAGACGTACACGTTGTCTGTGTGACCATGCGCACGGTTTTTCATATGAAAAATGTGAAAATCTCGACGAAGACGTTTTTCACTTCCGCATATATTTTCATTCACGCAAGATAATGCTAAAACTTTTATATTAGTGCCGAATTATTGATTTTGTTCCGCCACACGTTCAACTCTCACGGCTTGGATAAATACAATCTTATCGCCGTTATTTTACAACCGTAGTTACTTCACAACCGGGAATTCTTCGTTTGCTCGGTTCGTTAACCCTTTGATCAGAAACTTATCGAACCGATTGTCGAAGACGCGATTTTTCAAACTAATCTTCGATTGTGCGCGCATGTGACAAATTGCGTGGTTTGCAGCAGCTGAATTGCACATTTCTATTCGAGCAACGAGCTAATAATCGGAATTACAGTTTACATTTTGTTATTCGCAAAGAAAGTTACAATTGACTGTCTTTACGCGACTGTCAAGACACATCAATAAACGTTTATTCTCGAGAGAAATGAAATATTTATCGGAGACGTGTGTATTGGTGCGAAACTTTGAAGTGTTTTGTATTCAAAAGATTTCTTTTTACGCGGGATCTTTGATACTTCTTCTAGACGCTCGGATTAAAGACGCAAGGAACAAGCCGTCGCGCGAAATCGATACTCGCGAATTTCGTAGAGCAGGTGAGGATGTAAATCGAACAAAAAGCAAGTAGAACAACCACGGAATAGATTTAAAGAGAATTTCGTCGCGCGACAAAGCAGCTGTGCAGAAGTAGTCAAAGTTGCGATATGAACGAATAGAGATACGTGCGAGGTAGACAGTGGAAGAGAACGAAGATTGTGACAGACGTGTGAGCACGGAGTGAAGAAAAAGAAGAGGAAGAGAGAGAGTGAGAGAGAGAGAAAGAAACAAGCACAGGGGAAGCAGATACAGCGACGGGAAAATGTCAAGAAATCCTACCAGGTGCTGGTTGGCTACTATTCGATTTAGAATGCAGACGAGAAATGCTGCGTGAGCAGCAGGCGGATGATATCGAGGAACACCTCGATGGCGGACGAGATAGGCAATTGATACGCGGAGATAAGACGAACGAAAAAAAGACCACACTCTCTCGCCGGGCTCTGAAAGCGTAAGAAGAACCTTTCGTCCGATCGCCGCACACGAGTGGAAGACACTCGTTCCTCGACACTGCACCCTCGGTTACTGAAGAGTCAGTCGCTACGGCGATGATTTGAACAGGCCAGCCGCTTTCTCAAGCACAAACCTAATTTGGTTCTGCTAAAACGCGCGGCTTCAAGATCAAACCGCGTATGTATAATCGAATCGAAAGTTGGAGCACGACATTTAAATAAGAGACTGCGACAGCGTCGGAGAAATCATCGGGATGAGGAAACAGGGGAATCACCAGATTTGAAATAATTCAAGTGACTTTTCCGGCAGGGGCACGGCTCGAGTGGCCACGGCACTGCTTATTGATCTCACTAAAGGGCGACGAAAGGTACGTAGCGTACATGTGCACCCGGTGCGCACCGGACACCACTGCACGGCGAGCACGTAGTGCAACCACTGTCACGAGCAGCGGTAGTGACGACAGCGACGACGGCGGCGGCGTACGTGGTGGCAGCGGTGGCTGCGGTGACGGTGGCACCACCGACACTCCGCGATTATCGTCCGCCATACTAGTCCGCTATCACGGTGTGGCCGCCGTCGCCGCTACCTACCCCCGTCGCTGCCATCGTCGTCATCACTACTGACACTTTCCCGGCGAACTGTCACTGTAAGCTCCCAGACACGTCGAGCTTGCGAGTCGACCGGACTGACAGAATGCGCACTCCCGTTTCACACGTAATGAATGTATCGTTCGTACATTTCCGGAAATACATCACTGACTTCGTTCATCCAATGTGTCGATGTAGGGGATCGGTGTCGAATATAGTTAATAACACACATATTTCCCTTTTCCTCTTTTCCACTCCGTTCGTTCATCAGACATTCTTGTCTATCACTCTCGTTTTCCCTTTCTCTCACATTCTCTCTCTTTCTCTCTTTCATTCACCCTCACTTTCTCGCTAATGACCGACTCACACTAGCCTTCCACTCTACCTCCTGTGATCGACGCGACACTTACGATGACCGAGTCGAAAGGATTGTGGCAGGCCAGGGCTGCTGCTGCTGATGAGCGAACTCTCCTCGGGACTTGCCAAGCTTTTTCACTCGGCTATCATCCCGTACAACCCTCAAGATCTGCTCGACCGTGGAAAGCAGGCAGGGCTGCTGGAGTTCGGGGTAGGGGGCGACGGTGGTGATCGCTCGCCACCGTCGGAGAGCGACTGGTAGGGGTATAGAGCGGACCGTGTGGGGTGTGGGAGGTGCACCCCCGTGCCCCGTACGAAACGATGAGCGGCACCGGGGATGGTTATAGAGAGACGGCAGGCGTGCGCGCCAGAACGCGGAAAGCGTCGTAGGGGTGGAAAGATTGGTGAGGAGGGGACGAGCAGGGACTCCCGTCACCGCCAGATATGGGTCACTCGGCGATCGATGCCGATATAGAGGCGCTGTATTGCCGGAGTCCGTCGCACGATCTCCCTTACGTCACTTCTCGCTCGCTCGCTCGCTCGTTCGCCCGCACGTTCGCTCATTCGCGATATTATCTTCAGCGCGGGGGCGGCCGGCCGCGACAATTCGCGCGCGGTGTTAAAGGGTTCGATCGACCGCGCCGAACATGGCGGCGTGCATCGTCAGCCCGCGCCGGCCGATACCCTGAAAAAGTCTCGTGACTTGGCGAAATGGTTTGCGTCGCGGCTGCACAGAGAGGGGGGTGTAGCTTTCACAAAAGACCAATCAATACGCAAGAGGTGATCCTACGATATCTCGACTCTCTCTTCCTCTCATTGTCTCTCTTTTTCGCCCGAATTTCTTGTTTCTCTTCCTCTTTCTCTTATCACTTTCTTCTGCCACTCCCGAGTAAGTTTCCCTCACTCCTCCCATCACATTTATTTTATTTATCTCCAGCTCTATTTCCCAGCTCCCTTTCATTTCGTCTTCTTTTCTTTTTAATTCATCGTACCTTCTCTGGTGCAATCTTCTTCGCGTAAACGAACGCGGTTGTCGTTCAAAACGTAGGGTAAGGAAAGGGAGTATATATATCCGCGACGATTTGAATATGTATCGGAAATACAGTAAAGTCTAATTTTAACTCATTGTGTGTCGTGCGCGCGCACATGCATAAATGTCTGAAATTTTCGGAAAGAGAAAGACGACAGTCTTTCTCTCTCTCTCTCTCTCTTGCGGTCTAAAACGATTCTTCTAGATTAGCAGGAGTGTATCTATCTAAAATTTAGAATTGATCCTACTATCTGGAAATTTCGAATAACGCGTTAAAAAAAAAAATCAAGTTCTATTTCAATTAACCTTTATACTGTGTAAAAGGTTTTTATTTTTCATTATTTATTTTATTTTAACAGTGTCGTATGCATAACAAATTATTTATATCATTTGTAAAATATAATGTAAAATATAATAGCATATGTAAAAATAAAAAACACATATGATATATATGTACTGTATGTAAATACATACGAAATCACTATAATATATTCGTGTAATATATTTGTAAAAAACTTGTTTTATTAGTATTCAATTAGTATTCAACGCGCAGTTAATATTAACATAAACTATTAAGAATATTGAAGACACTCGATAATTATCATAAGAATGATCTGCGAAGACACGTTCGGATAAATTTGCATGCAGTATTAATTTATATAATTAACGTAGATTATATAATTAAAAAAGAAACTGTTGTTTTTTGTTCGCGACTCAATCGGAAAAAGTCGTCTTGCGACGTCAATGGGCGTCACTGCAATTCAGGATTCGGCGCGTTGATGCGCAGGCGTCCGATGACGTCATCAGCGCGTCTAAGGCGCGGGGTGTTATACGCTTATCAATGAACGTACGATGCCTACGGCGAGTACCTGTTCTCCAGCCGACGCAGCGCCGGCGAACACACCCTCCTTTACAACTCTCACCGTCCTTAGCGCGTGTCCATTCTCGTTGGTAGTTTCGCGCTACCTCCTATCATCGTTCATTGGCAGATGTAAGAGCACGAGAAGAGCTGAAAGTAAAGTATTATACGCAATTATTATACGGAAGCTAGGAATGCACTTTCTCTCAAGAGATTGACGTTCGAAATGAAGAAGAAATGTTTTACTTTAACGCAACAGAATCGCGATCTCTTAAAGTCTTGTATTGCATTATAATTTTGCGATTGAAGAAGGCTTTTGTAAGAGATCGAAACGTTTCGCGTTTTATGTGTGTGTATTATATCTTCAATTGTATTTAAATATACTTAACAACTAACTCAATTTAAATATATTTAACAGTTGAAAATGTGATCTTTATATTTTTTTGCTGTATTGTTAATTTTTCAGTGAGATATAATTGCCGTAATTAAGCGCTGATGCATGCAGAAAATAATACATACCAAAATCAGTTATTAAAAAAAACTTTAAAAATTCTAAAACTACTTAATAAAAAATTATTATATTATTAAAACACTATTAAAATCAAATATTAAAAATAAAAACAGAAAACCTTTATCTTCTTGATATGTATTAATTTATTCAAACATACGTGTAAAAAACGCGACGTCTCACACACAATATTGTGTGTGTGAGACGTTGTAAAATATCAATCTTTAAACTAACGCTTATATAATCAGTAAAAAAATTGTTTGAAAGATTAAAAAGATTGTTTTGACGTTTTATGAAAGCAAAATATATATTGTTTTGTGGCCTTTGTCAGATAATAAACTTTTTTCTGTCTCTTTTTCTTTACGTAGAGTGAAAAATTTTTATTTGGAATAACTGCTATTCGACGATACGCGCCCATATGTTTTTCTTATTGAGTAACTTTAAGCTCGGATCGACCGTCAAATTGCGATTCGTCTTCAATCAAATTGCCTCTACATAACTTCAATCATGAATTTCAAATTTTGCAGATAATTACCATTCACTAATGACATATCATACATTGCAGCTTTAATTGTATAAAGTGTTTCAGACTTTATGTGAATATTGTTTCCTACAAAAACTTGGGTTTTTTTTTTGTAGGAAAAAAGCTTTATTTTTGTGATAAAAAAAATTTTTAGTTGTTGCACATTTTAAGTACTTTTAATTTTTTGTCGTATGTATGCATTACATTAACTTTGCACACAAAAACTTAACTCATAAAAAGATATTTCTTTCATATTCAATATCATAAAAAAATAGTGTGCATGATTACTAAGCAATCATGTACACTATGTAAGACTGTTTTTTGTGAAAGTAAAACAGAATAAAATAATAATTTGTTTGATATATGAAATTTGCAAAAGAAGACAAAACAAGGCAAAATGCTTGTTTTGATCGCGAATAAAAAGTTTTGACATGATAATTTATTTATTTTGTTTTAATTTTATTTTTTTTACATCAAGGCTAAAAAGTGATTGATTTGACATATGATCTCATGCATTAAGATGAAATACTTAATTTGAATTTTTTAATGGAAATCTATAATAGTTTATTGCTAAACCATAAGTTAGCGAAAACTGGTTTCTGACATATAAGTGGGAGAATTCTTCATTTGTTATCTTTTACAAGCCGCTGCGCTGTAGACACAAGCCAAAACGTGAGCTCCAGTCACGCACGATACTTTCAATCGTCAAAGTGTGCAAGCAAAGGTTAATCTTGTTGTTGAGTATAGTGCGGTTTACCTGTACAAAAGTATATAAAGTACGTAAATATATATATTTTAAATAACTAAAAAAGTATAATTAAAAAAATATATGCGTATAAATATATGTGCAAAGTGTTAAATGTGATTTAAGATTATGAATATTAAAAAATAACAGAAAGTTAGTTTTAGAAACGCGCGTAAAATAATAAACGATACATCACAGTATTGAAAAATAAAAACTAATATTGAAAGTATAAAAACACTAATATATTACCGTTTGATTACTTGATTTTGTGAAGAAGTGAGTTATTTGCGAGTATACAATCTACGAAACTTTTCGATTTTTTTTTTTGACAGGCATTTGACTAAAGAATTATCTCTCATATAATTTATAATTTATAGAATATATAGCGAGCGTAATTATTATCAGTTATAAATAATTTTCATTACTAACGTCACTTGCGTTATGCATGAAACATTGCGTAAGTTGCTCTTATGTTTGTTAGTGAAAGTTAGTTACGCAACAGGCCCCTCGCTGACACTTGGTCGGTTTCTTATTCGCAAATTTTCTTTTATTATCTCACGTACTTAGTGAAAGGAAAACTCGAGCGATTTTTTATCATTTTCATCTCTTTCTTGCAGAATATATTCAACACTTATACAATTTTATAAATAAATAATTCTTGTAGAGAACATGAAGTTCGGCCATTCAATCGATGACTCTCGAAAAAAATATCCAGAGATTACAGATGACGCATTAGAAAATCTGCAAAACTGGGCAAAAGCTCAAGATCTACCCAAGATTGCCGAGGAGCAATTGGCGTTGTTCTTGCATAGTTGTTATTACAATTTGGAGGATACGAAACAATGCATGAATGTTTACTACAGAATGCGAACGACAGTTCCAGAATTTTTTAAAGACAGAGATCCTAGACTCAAGGAATTTCAACATTCTTTGAAAACCTTGTACGTGATATTTTGTTTTGCAATTGTTTATTTATCGTGATATGAAGCCAGTAACAGTTAAGAACCATAAAAATTATGTTGCTTATTCTGTTTGTGTGTGTAGGGAGTTTGCAATGCTTCCAAAATCAGATCCACATGGCAACCGAATAATTTTTCATCGACTGTCAGACACGCGACCGCAGCAATACATGTTCAACGATAGCATTAAGGCATTTCTAATGTCCATCGACGCGGATCTCTACTCAGAAGGTTGCTCGCCGGGATATATATTTTTGTTCGACATGCAAGGCTCACGAATCGGTCACTTAAGCAGATTGTCGTTAAGTAGCATTAGCAAATTCTTCGAGTATCTTCAGGAAGGTATGCCGATCAGGCTCAAGGCTATTCATGTAGTAAATGCGGTCTGGTTCATGGACAAGTTACTCGCGCTCATCAAGCCCTTCATGAAGCGAGAAGTTTATGAAATGGTAAATCTATTTTATTTGTTCTTGATCGGTTTTCTTAAGCGCGCGATTAGTTGAAATCTTCAATTGCGTATTTACACGCGCGTAATATATTATGATGTTATGATAAAAATGGTAATTAATTTTTTTCGGTACAATATCAAGTATGCGTAATAATAAAAACTAGAAAATCTACTTTTTTTATTAGCTACGTTACAAGCTAACTTAATTTTTGCTTGTTTCGTAGATTCACGTTCACTCCGGCGAAGTTTCCGATGTGTATCCTTACATACCTCCGGAATGTCTACCAAATGATCTTGGTGGGGAGTTGGATTGCGTCGCAAACTTTCATGGCAAGTTGTACTTACATAATATGCACATTCAGTTTTTATAGCTTTTGTTTTATCGAGAAAGATTGAACAAAATACTAAATAAACATAAACTTGCTAATTGTCTCCTTATTAAAAATTCATAGAAAGTGAAAGTCGCGAATTTTTACGCGAGTTCTATAAGCGCGCGTTAAAAATGTCAACGCGCATTATAGAAATGTTTACCATGCCTATTAGTTATTTTACTATGTTTTACTATGTTAATTCATAATTATGCTATTGTTTCACGTATTCCAGGAACACAGATTTATAAGGAAAATAGAAGTACTAAGCATTCGTAAACGAAATATTGTGTTTGATTAATTAAGTATAAATTTTCGCGCGTATTTTACAAAGTTAAT